CTCCCCAGCAATGTACCTTAGAGCAGAAGTGTTACTGAGAATTTGCATCATCTGCTGTGGTGTGAAGACAGGCTCTACCCTACTTTGTGTTCTCTCTGTAGCATTTGCAGAGAACTGATGTATGAGTATAGGGGTGAAACATAGTGGTGAAACATAGACTCAGATCACATAAATTTAGGCTGATTCAGTTGTCCATGTGAAGTTGTATAGTTTCATTCCAGACACCTCAGGTGGCTTCCAGGTCAGACATGAATTCCAGTCCATTCCTCTTTAATGAAATATCTTTTCTGCTCAGGAGACCCTCAGGGCCAAGGAATCTGATGTTTTCTTGTTTCAGGATCTGATGCTGTCTCATTAGGTTTGCACTGGCTGAGCATTCATAAAGCACTGAGTGTGGTTTCATGGCCGATAGCTAAGGGTATGATGATATTTAAAGTGTCTTAAAGTGTTTTATGTCTGGTGCAGAAGGCCATCACTCTTCTGAAAATGCTGTGCCAGATTTGCCAGCTCTGTGTCTGTGTCTGGAAAGCCCACAGTATCTCAAATGTGACTAAATGCTGAGTTTTAGGCAACTGAATTGAGTCCTGAAAACTCAGGGCACTGGAACAGGCTCCCAAGGGCAGCACCAGCCTGACAGAGCTCAAGACATGCTTGGACAATGTTCCTAAGCACATGATATGATTCTGGGGTGTCCTGTGCAGAGCCAGGGGTTGGATTTCAGTGGTCCTTGTGGGGTTTCTTTCAACTCAGGATATTCTATGTTTCTGTGAATAAGTCTTATCTAGAGCCTTGTAAAAACACAATTTCTCCCTTTTAAATATATACCTAAATAATAAAATTAACTTGCATCAATATTAAATAATTTGGAGTATCAACTATTCTAAAACCTATATATTCTATAACTAGTGAAATGTCAGTCACACACACTGGATGGTTTCTTGAAGTCTTGAGCCTCACAACAGGCAACCTACAGAAAGGAGCCCACAATGAGGAGCTTGCAGAAATCTTCTGGGTTCTTGCTGTATCATACCTTGAGCTCAATTGGCCCAGCACCATGTGAATTTCACCTGTAGAAGACCTTGGCAGACTTTGCTCAAATTTGCTGTTGCTTTCCCTTCTGGGACTGAGGATAACTTGGCAATTTTTCTGAAGAACCAGATGTAAATCTAATTTTAGAGACTGTGGAGCTCTTTGTCACTGATGTGTGTTTGTTGAGACACAGTCACCTATGTGACAAGGTGACAGTTCCATGGACTGCTAAAGCTCACCAAGATTTAATTTTCTTAAATTTTTGTCCTCATTACTAGCACATCTCCTGTAATTATCATCACTTTGTGGCACTGATGTTCTTTTTTACACTGTTCTCCTAAACACAAAATCACCATAGGTACAATTCTTTCTTTTATCAGTCACAATTATTTGACAAAGTTTTATTTTATGGTATTTTAATTAGCACTCTTACCATATTGAAGCTGTTTCCTGTCTGGGCTATGCAGAGACATGATCAAGATGAACACTTGTGAACAAAAAATTCTGTGTGCTGAGACATGTTTAAACCTGTAGTGCTACAATGATTCATCTTTGGATGGTCCTGTGTGAGGTGCAATGGCCAGTAAAAACAGGTTTGGTATTTATCATCCTATGTTTGCCTGATCTGTTTTCAAAGAAAATCTCTTTGAAAGACACTGAATAAAACATTAGCAAATGTTCCTAGATGTTTTCCAGGTAAATAGATACAGGTAAATCTATGCCTGCTATCTAAAACTTAATCTTCTATGGCCTGTTTATACTCTTTTTCTAGTTGTACTTCCATTTACTTCTAAATCATACTTACTTCTAAAGATGTTTCTTCTGAAACTCCACAGGTACTAGCATATCCATGCGTCTTCAAAAATCCCCTCCAATTCTGAGAGATCCATTGACATTGATAATTAGAATTAGAAATATGGAGTCTAAACTATTGTTCAGTATCCACTGATGACATTCTGTGCAAGCTCCTGAATGACCTCTCTGACAATCTGCAAAATCCCCAATGGCACAGGTATTAAAGATCAAATTGATATGCACATAACCAGTACCAATTTTGTACCCAAATGCTTTGTCAGAGACTTATCTTCCTCTTGCAATTTACATCACTGAGGCTGAAAATTTGACATAAAATTTTAGGGTGTGCAATTAGTTGGCTGGGCTTCTTTGGTTATGGCAGTAAGTTAATTTATGGTGAAGTTTAGATTCTATTGGCCTTTTGCATTTAAAGGGAAACTCCAAAGCAAAGCTTTCTTCTCAAGTAAAATTCTTTTATTAGCTCCTCTGCTGCTTATTTAATTGGTCTTCAAGAGGAGTGAGGCAAAACAAAACACTCTGTCCTTTCTGCCTAGAGCACTCACAAAGCAGAGCCTCTCACTCAGCAGAAGCCACTGCCTGAGTAAAAGAACAAGGTGTGTTTGCAGTTCTATGACCAGCCTCTGCCTTTGGGGAGGTTTCCTATGGGCTTCAGGCCCAGGGGTCAGTGAATCACTTTCAGATCTGTGCATTGCTGTGCTGAGGTTTCTATCCCTTACCTTACGCTCTGTCATTCTGACCATTTGCCTTCTGCAGTGACTCTGTTCCTTTTTCCTTCATGCTGCTTTCTTTGGTGCTTGAGGTGAGCATCAGATGTGATTTTAGGACACCATTTCAGGAGACCAATTTACACTGCTCCTCTAAACCTTCCAGGTCTGCTGGTACTGAGTTCAGGCAGTCTCAGCTCAGCTGAAGGGCTGTTTTCTTGAGCTGGGAAGGGAGGGCAGGATAGAGGTGCAGAGCTGGCAGCTGCCAGTAGAACAGCAAGGCAGAGCTGCCACACTTTCCCTGTCTTCTCCTTGAGCTACCACATCCCCAGTCCCACCCCAGTGTGTCTGGACACATCCCTTAGTGGCTGGGAGACAGATTCCCAGGGACTTGCTGGGGAAAGGGCAGAATGTGTGGTGGGGTATACCTATTTCATTTTCTTCTCCGGTACCAGTGCCTCATGGTACTTACCGGTTTGTCTTTTCTGCCTCAGCTATTCACCTGGTGTCCCTGTTTCCATTTATTTGCTATGTGATACCAGCAGGAAATATAGTAACACAGAAATACAGGTAGATGTAGTAAGCTCAGGGAGTCCTCAAAGCCTTGCAGCAAATCAGCATTCCTTCTATTATGTTGTTAGTACCTGGCAGAAAGTATCCAGCATTAGATATTATGCTCTGGGAGCACAAGCCTTCTATTGTTTGGCCAGAGCATGTATCTGTTTCCTATTTTGTCTCTTATGCTGCTTTCCAATCCAGCTATTTATTGGGAGGGCAAAGCCATAAAGGACATAAATTATGCCTTTAAGACTCTCTTTGCAGAGATTACCTGTGGATAGTGTCCAGTAGGTGAATAATTCTGGGGTTGGATGGAGAATGGAGAATGACTTTGGGGGAACTGGAGCTGGCTGTTTCAAGAGCCCATGAATTCTAATAGTAATTTGTTTTCTTTTAAAAGAGCTTTAGAAGAGTCTTCTGAAACATGAATTGTGCTGCACCATGTGCATGTTTTCAAACTGACTTCTAACTAATAAGATTCTGTGACACAGAAATAAACATTTCTATGTTACAATCTCGTTCACCAATGAGATTGAGACTGAGAGCTGCCGTTCTGTAATTCTTGAATAAAAATGGGAGCTAACTATATTGGGCAAGTTATATTTCAGATTGTTTCTAAAGACAATGAATATGGTAGCAGGTTTTGTAACTTCTTCACACAAGGGCAGACTGGGTTTTTTTGTAGTGGTTTGCCAGCAAGGTGTGCAAGACATGCATGCAGACACAGAGGTCTGCAATACAGAAATGCTTTTCTCACCAATTTATCTTTTTTTGTGACCACAGATTAGATTTTTTTTGCGTTTGGCAGTTTCAGAGTCTAGGGTTTTCTGTATCTGAAAGCTGCACCCCCCAAAATTATTTCTAACAAGATACAAATTGCTTTGTCTTACATGTGTGAGGCTGGTCTTGGCTTGTCTTTTATATCCTATATTCCATAGTTTATAAAATAACAGATGTTTGACAGGTCTCAGTGGCTCTTGTTAATTTACATATGAATATTTTTCAGTCTTTTAACTGAAGATATTACCTGGGCAGTGGAATTCTGTGGAGCAATTGCTGGCTACTGATGTACCTTGGTCCACAGGAGTGACTTTTGTACTTTATGTGCCCTGAGTTTACTCAATCTAGGTCCACAGCTTAGGAGCAACTTTTGAACTCCACATGCCCTGATTATTCCTCAACACTGCCGTTCTCTGAAGCTTTTTCAGGTTACATTCATTCTCCATTTTTTCTACAGTTTAAAGATGGCCAGTTTAATTCTTCTTACTTTTTTCCCTTTCTTTCTTTCTTTCTTTCTTTCTTTCTTTCTTTCTTTCTTTCTTTCTTTCTTTCTTTCTTTTTTTCTTTTTTTTTTTTTTTTTTTTTTTTTTTTTTTTTTTTTTTTTTTTTTTTTTTTTTTTTTTTTTTTTGTTTTTGTTTTTGTTTTTGTTTTTGTTTTCCCTTTTAAGCCAAAAAGTGCATTGAACACCCTGAGACATCTAGGTGTTATTTAGGGATTAGGCTTTATTTGGGTTTTATGAGGAGTTTCAAGGGCAGGTTTTTCTTTAAGAAACTGGAAGAGAGAATCTTGACAAATCAATCTGCAGTAAAATAATACAATATTAACACTGTAAAGGGAAATTTCAAGAGAGGGAGCTATTAATAAAAACTTTCAAACCCATTTCCTGTAGGGGGCATTTGAATACAAATGCGTGCACGGTGATTTACAGCGCTCCGGACAGCAAATAGCAGCAGCTGACACCTGAGAGCTCCTTTGCTCCCCTGCTCTCTTTAATTGCTGTTACCCTACTAACAAGATGCAAGTACCCACCTAAGAGTAAAAATATCCAGATTCCCAGTTCCTCTGGATAACACATAATACAATTGCACTTCTCTTGCATTTCAGGTGGCTGCATGGACATTGTTGGAGCACATGAAGTGCATCCTCATTCCTGGCCTTATGTGGCTGCTATCCAGGACAAGAATTTAGGTGTTTGTTGTGGAGGAGCTCTTCTGGAAAGGCAGTGGGTTTTGACAACAGTACCTTGTGAGTAAGTGTCTTAAAATGGGGTCATTTTAATTCTTCATTGAAGTGAGGCATGGTATGCAAGCCTCTGAGTGAAGAAAGGTGAGTATTGATTTTTTACATAGATTGTTAGACAGCTGCAGTTCTCTCCCTGGAATTATCCTAGAACTTGTTATTGTTTTTAGTTGCTATAAACTACTGATCTGCATTGTAGTTACCTTCATTAGTAACTTCCTGTCAAAGCAGCATAAATAATGTGCTGTTAAAAGACCAAATTAATTGCTTATGCAATAATTAACAATATGAAAAAGCAATGTCTTAGAGAAGGGAATGTGTCCCAAGGATTTAAAACAAATCTTATGTGTATGCTTGGAACTAAGCCTCAAAATACCCTGAGACAGATGAATTTGAATTAGATGTGGACACTGTTCCTCTCATTTTGAGCGACTTAGGCTCACAAACCCAGAATGTCACTCATGTCGTGTTCTGTGACAAGGAACCTTGTCCTTTTGACAAGTTAAATGTGAGCAGAAGCATCTCTTCCCCAGGTGGGATGCTCTGCTGTTGGACAGCTGACTCAAGGTAAGAGGGACATCTACTGTTCACATTAGGAAGTAAAATGCCCTGTTTTTATTAAAATGTTCCCTGAATTGTATTTTAGTTCTGCAATTTTTCCTTCTTATTTTCACTATCTAAAAGGAAAAAAGTTACAATAAACCTGTGCAAACCTGACCTCCTTAAACACAGTGTGGGTAGGTTGGCCAGCCTTCTGTGAGTTAGTCTGAAACAGAGGACACAGTTCCTTCAGAGTGAATTTGACTTTCACTATTTTTCAGCTGAATCAGGTGTGATTGTAAGGGTAGAAATAGTAATTCCTAGCATTCTCTGTTTAGCAAATTTACAAAACACAACCATGTCTTCCTTTTTGGAATTAAGGGACTTTTTAATGGGATCTGGTGTCTGTCTCTTATTCTTCAATCAATATGTCAGAGACAGCTAGTCAGATATATTTATAAAACTTCGGATTTGTTCGCTATTCAGTGGAAAGGGTATTGTGTGTCTCTGATCCTGTGGAGAATGTGCTCTGGTAACTGATCTGGGTTTCTTACAGCACATTGTTTTGTTCTGACTTTAAGTCTTTGCCACTGGGGCAAGTTGAACCAGCCTGGTTTCCTTCTCCTAAGCTGTAAAACAATGCTCACAAAAAACCCACCAACACCTGTTCTATGCCTGGTGCAATTGCAGTGCATGTAAAATTTCCTAATTAATGGATCTCATGTCTTAATGATGCCTGAAATAATTTTTTTTCTTAGGCAAAACAGCACGAATTCAGCAACATGAATTTCTGTGTGGCCTGTGAAACACCTGTTAGAATCACAGAGACGGAGTTTTGAGAGACATCTCATTCTCTCTGAGGAAGTGTGCAGATATTTCCACAAATAAACTTCCCTGTATAAATAAATGAATAACGTCTTTCAGTGGCACATGTATCTTGAATGAAGAAAATTGTTCTTTTATAGTTTGTATTGATAAAGTCTTTGTTCTGGCTTGAATAAATTTTCCTATTTATAGTGAGATTATGTTCTGAAAATTAAGCAGAGGAAACTGGCAGTATGTGTTCTGCAATGTCAAATTTTTGGGCTGGATTAAGTTTAGCAGGGAAAAATGAAGAAAGACAAATGTTAATAACTACATTTCTGATTATACTTATAGAGCTTGGAACATAGCGGAATTTATTGGTTGCTCAACTCTTAACATTTAATAGCAAGAAGTGAATGTATAACTCTTTGAATTTTAACATTCTCCCTTTTTTAAAAAATATTCACTACTGGGGTGTCTTGGGTTAGGTAACACACACCCTTCTTCCTTAATGTGCTGAATCCTGTGTTTTGAAAATTAAGGACAAAAAGCTTCTTAATATTAAAGATACTCACTTTGGCAGGGCATTTACTCATATGTATAATGCTCAGGATAAGCTTTGAGTATTGATGTGTGTTCTGGCATGCTACTGATGCCAGAAAAGTTTGTCTTTGCAGGATTAGGTCATAAATCCAATGGAGACGTTTCAGAGGTTAATGAAAGGCATCAGCAGCAACTGTCCTTGTGCAAGCAGCTCCCCTTCTAAAGATGGGAGGCTCTTTCACAAAATTTCTGAAAATCTCTGGAGGTCACTTGTCACACAATTATTTCACAGAAAAAGAAGCTCATGTCAAAACATTGAAATGAATGATTTCCTGCTCTATCTGTTTTAATACCAGTGTTGTAAAACAAAACAGTATTGTGTTGCATGTCTTTTGATTATCCTCAGAGATGTTGCTGAGTTCCTGTAGTGACTTTCTCTTCTTATATTTTCTATAAGTTACAGAATAGATGAATTGGAAGACAGTTGTTCTTGGAGCTCATTGGACATCCATGTGCTCCTGAAGGAGCACAGCAGATATTTGGGATTATGGAAACCTTTCCTCATTATCAGTTTGACTGGCCTCCCTTTGATAATGGCATAATGCTCCTCAAGGTATTGTTTTAATTACTGCTCTATTTTTATGAAAGGAATTTTGCTGATGATCATTTTGGCTACTCTTTGATACTGAAGAGTACATTGTTTAGATAACAATATCATAGAACAGTGTACTATGTTTTGGTTGTATTAATCTAGATGACTTAGAGGATCACTGGCTCTGTGAGTAGATATGATATTTCAAGCCTGTTCTCTGCTCTAAAACTCTCTTTTTAATCCATTCACTGCAGCAACCCCTCCAAAACACAAAGCACATTCTCCCGTAATTTTTCAAAGCCGATGCTGAAGGGATGTATGCAACAGAGTCTGGCTCACATCTCTATCCCACAGTTAGATCTTGTGCTGGACTAAGTAAAAATGGAGATGAAACTTACTGCTAATTTTCAGGTGTAAGCAGGTAAAGTGAAAGTGTGGATAATACAGGACATACAGACTCAGGTCTAGGAGCACAGAGTGGTCACAAAGTGGAGGAGGCTCAGGACACTGCAGAATGAAGGATGGAAAATGTCCTTGCCAACATTGTCATCTGATCCCAAAGTGGGGCAGAGCTATGAGAATTTGAATTTACAGGGAGGTGCCCCTGCCTGTGGCAGGGGGGTTGGGACTAGGTGATCTTTAGGGTCTCTCCCAGCTGTAACATTCTATGATTCTATTATTCTGTGACTGGAACCTGTTTTTTAGTATTTAGATGGTCTCACTGGTTTGACATGGCAATGACACAGGGAGGAAGGTAACCACATCCCTCTCTGCGCTAGCTGGAACACCTACAGGCACCTGTGGCTCAAGCACCTGACCAGGATTCATCTCTGAGGAGCTCCTTCCCCTGGATGTTAGTGAGCATTCTACTTCTGCTTCCTTGTCAATGTCGATCAGACTGATCTCATTGACTTCTCCTGTGGCCACTTGACAGGAGCACAGGGTGTCTGTGAACACAAAATCAAATGGATCACTAGGAAGTAATATTTCTAGAGCTGAAAACCACAACTCTTTCCAGAATGACACAGATATCTCAAAATCCTCTGAATTTTACACAGAAGCAGGGATAGTACTAGTACCAGAGCTTACCTCCTGTCTCTACACTTCTGCAGTAATGGAGTATTCAGTGGCTTGGAATAAGCTTTCCATCTTTGGAACTTTCCAGCAGCACTGGCAATGATAGCTGCAAATATATTTTAAAATAAATTTTTGATTTGTTGGAATGCATTTTTGAAAGGTATAAAGCCAGAATTGTTTAGCTGAGAACCATGTATCACCCTGTATCACCCTGTGAAATGAATCATGGTGCAATAATCATAAGACTGAAAATGTATATTTGGTACCTGTGAGCCCTTACCAAGCACACTGAGGATATATGTCAGGGTTTGCTGTGTTTTCATTTACTGACCTCTGCTGAAGGATGGATATGTCAGGCAAACGCCAACAAAACACAGACAGTCTGAATCATTTGAGCCCTTTTGAATATCTCAGAGCGAAAATTGGCAGTCTGAATAGACTGAGAGCTGATTTTTCCTCAGTGATGTTGCTGCTTTTGTGTCTAATTGCTTATAGTTTTGTTTTCATCTTTGTTCGTGGGCACATCACACTGTGCTTCGAGAATTTTCTGTCAGTCAAGCACCAGAACCTGATTTCAACACTGAAGTTTAGTGGCAAGTTAGGTTTGTGAACTGGACATAGATCCAACAACCTAACTCCCATGCAGGTTTTACATTTCCCACTGTATCCAATGGAAAGCTGGGCTTGAACTCACTACTGCTGCCATAGATGGGAAATTGCTGAAATGCTACTATGGAAAGTCTTGTGAATTTTCAAAGGGACAATTAAGCTCAGGATCAGTTCCTAAGTAGTGAAAAGTGATTTTTAAGGGAAGTGGTGGTAAAATGAGACTAAATGATAATTGAAGCTATGTGATACTTCCTTTCCTTTTTGCATGAGAAATCTAGTTTTTCCTTGTTTTTCCTTCTTTTTTCTTTTCCCTTTTTAGCTGAATGATACTGCCAAGCTGAATAAATATGTGCAACTTTTGGCTCTGCCTGACTTTTTTGAAGATGTTGAACCTGGCACACTCTGCCAGGTGGCTGGCTGGGGAGACACATCACCAGGAAAGCCATCAAAATATCTCCGTAAGACAACTCTTAAAATTGTTAGTAGAAAAGCTGTTACAAACATTATGCCAGAGACCCAAAAATAACCAACAACATGTTGTGTGCTGCAGGGAAAAGTAAATTATATCTGAGTGATACTTGTGAGGTAAAAAGCAAAGTTACGAGGGTGGGGCAATGGCTCCCTTTTCACTGGGAACAAAGAGTGTTAGACATCTTAGGAGGATGATCATGTTTTAAGTGATTTAAACCACATTTATGAGAGACTTTATTGCTGTGAAAAAGACAAGTTAAAACTTTGTTTACTTTAGGTCACTGTACCAATCAGGATCAAGAGTATGGGAATTTGAGCTGGGGTTATCTATTAACTATTTCATTAGCTATGGTGCTCTTCTGAGACGCCACCTGTAGTTATGGGAGAAAAAGCAGAGCTATCAGGGTCTCAATCATTTGATCCTTTCCAGAAGTCAACATCTGAATAGTACAGAATTACCCAAAAGCGCTGTTTGGATCTTGCTTTTGATGTTCTCTGTGCTGAATCCAGAAGCGACAATTGATAAAGAGATGAGAATCAATTTATACCAACAATAAAAAATGTATTTTGAAAGCGAATTATGACAGCACTCTGCTGCTCCACAGCATTTGCATCAAAGGTCCCTCAGGTTTGAAAAGCAACCTCTCTTTATTCCTGATCCAACTCCTATTGAATGATGTAAGCCAACTGCTTCATTTCACAGGCTGGAAAAGGTTACAGACAACATTTCCAAATATGCCTGTGCACTGCAGGTGGCACTGCATGCTCCTCTGGTGAGAAATGGACTCACTGACAGCTGCTTCTGATTTGTCTTCCAGGGAGATTCAGGTGGGCCATTAATCTGTGCTGGCCAGTGCTGTGGGATGGTTTCTTTTGGAGAAGAACGTGAAAATATAAGCATACCTGGAGTTTATACGCAGCTGACTGAAGAATATATTGGCTGGATAAAAAGAACAGTTAGACAGATCTATGAAACAAGAGCATTTTAATAAATATTGTGCTGTGCATTAGAGCTGGATGCTGCTGCTTTAGTGCACCACCTTTGAAATGTACCTCCCAGCTTTACAGCTTTGATGACACCACCACCACAGCTTTCTGTGAACAGCTCAAAGTATCCACATTTGTACAGATACCACCTTTACTAAGCTTTAGCAGGAAACTGCCATGTAGAAAACATAATTTGTATTAGATTCCACTCTACTTCTTACTAGGATGGGAAAGTATTCATTGCACTTGGGATAAAGCAACATTTTTTAATGTGTACTTACATAAAAATTCAGTTTCAGAATGATAGTGAATGAGAAGTCTGCTGAATGAGAAAAAATAGAACAAAAGCTTAAAATGTTAAAATATTTATCTGGAAAGTTATTAAATCCCAAATACATAGTTTTACCATTATTCAATATTTATTTATCTAATTTCAATTTCAAGAAGTTAAAATATTAAGCAGAGAGAAACAGTTTTCAAATTAGTCTTCATTATAAAGATACAAATATATAGATAAAAATAATATGTATTTTTTCCTTAGATTTTTTCCTTCTTTATTTTAATTATTTTTAAAATCTGTGCTTTTTTTTTTTTCTTTTCTTTTTTTTTTTTTTTTTGGGGGGGGGGGGGGGGGGTTGGGTTTGTTTTTTTTTTTTTTTTTTTTTTTTTTGGTGGGGGGGCGTGGGTGTTGGGTCTGTTGTTTTTTTGTTTATTTGTTTGTTTGTGCTTTGTTTTGTTGATCAAACAAACGAAATCCTCTCACAGCTTGGTTCATAATCTCACACTTTCAGTTAATCGTTTGCTCAAAAAGTATAAATACCAACTGTAATAGATGTAATTATAGTTCTTTAACATAGCTCCTAACATCTGTCAAAACAAACAGGGCTCTGGCTATGGATTTCAATAGACTTCTAGTAACAGAAGGACCTGGTGTGTTTCTGAAGAAATCTATGGTTAGCTTGCTGTACTACATCACCTTCCAAATATTTTCTAGGTCTTTTTTAACTAACAACTTTGATGTGATCATCTGCAGAGTTTCTCTCTTTCTGTGCTTATTGCACTAACATGCACTAAATACTGTAAGCTTTGAGATGTTGCAGAGGCATGAATAAATAACTCCAGAACAACGACCTACTGGCTTTGATTATTGACCAGGAGCCACACCACAATTCTGAGCAGAGCAGGAAAAGCTCATAGAGGATATACACGCAGGAAAGAAGCAACAGGACACCACAAAACTGGGTCAGTCGTGGGCCATAGTGCAATAAAACCTGCCACTGTGGTGTGTGGGGGCTTAGACCCACTTCTTGTCCAAGGGTGTGGGAAGGAAGATCTTAGAAGATGTCAGTGGGATTTGGCTCAGTACTGGAATACAGAGAAAACTGGGAAAAACTGAGGGAAAAAGCAAAAGATACATAAAAGTGGAAAGAATTGTTCTCACCAATAATTGTACCATTGTTCTCACTTTACAACTGGGGATCTCAGAGGATGCTGCAACACAAATTAGTCCCTTTTAACTTTGTGAGGTAAATGACAGGAGACTTTTCACACCATGAAGCCCAGTGGTCACAAATTGGTGTTCCAACTTGGTGAAGGCAAGACTTTCACTCCCTCACTCATGTGAACAGTGGCTGACTCTTTCACTGATTGAAAAAAGTGCTTGATAGAATCTGGAAACCATAATCAGCAGGCTCATTACAGTTCAGATGGTGGGCTTCCTGTGCGTGATCTCTCCTCATTCGCATAATCTTTTTTCTGTTTATGGGTGATGGAGCATGTGGAAGGGTGTTACTGCTAGGCCTGACTGCTCCTGCCAAGCCCCTGTGGCTCCCTCCCACTTTTACCAGAGCCCATCTCAGTGCCCAGGGCCAGCAGCCCCTCCCCAGCAACAGTTATCGGGCAGCAGCCTTGACTCAATTTCAGTCCACCCTGAGGCTTTGCTCCCTCCCGGTGCAATAGGAGGGAAGCCTTTGCTAGCTTTGAAATACCAGTGTCTTGAGACAGTGCCTGCCCTCCCACCCCTCTCACTGAGGAGGTGCACTTTGGGCTAGGGAGAGTGCAGGAGTCCTGCAAAGTGTCCCACTATTCTGGATTTTGTTAACACCTCTGAAAACACACGGCAGAAGGATAACTGTTTCTGCAGCCAGAGATGAGCAGAAAAATGGTCCAGGAAAAGGAGGTGACCACTGCTAAAAGCACTGCTGGGCTAATTCTCAGAACCGAAATCAAAGCAGGAAAGCCACAGAGAGTGACTCCATGTATGTTACAGTTTTGCAATGACAGACACCAACAAAGCCTGAAAAAATTAAGCTGGAAACACATTGTTTACCAGATTAAGAAGAGCTAATTTTCAGCAGCTTGTGGCAGAGTTTACTAAACATACTAACACAACATTTGCAATTCCACTTTCACTTAGTGAGAGAAATTTAGTCTTGTCTCTTTTAACCCAACATGCTTTAGCACTTAATCTCTAGGTGCCTGAGAGGTGTCCCCTTGGGCAGTACCTTCCAGCTCCTAAACATTGGCTTCTTCTATCAGACCAGCTCTCTTGTGCTATTTTTATCCCCACTGGAAATTTATGAGTGGATTAAGGGATCCTGCCTCAGGAATCCTTCTGCCCTTGGCCAGGCATATGCTCCTGTCTATGCTCGCACTTCTCAGCTTTGTCCGTGCAGAGCTGAGTTCTCTGTCACACTTTTGCTTCTCTATCTGTTTTTACTGAGGTCTTCCAGGTAAGCAATATTTCTTAAGGATTATTTTCCGAGATCTGACTTGCTTGTTGCCTGTCACACAGTCATGATTGGGCACAGAGAGCAGCCCTTAAGGCTGGCCAGGCTGCGCAAGGAGCTGACAAGTGGCACTGGCATGTGATGCATGGTGCTGAGCAGAGCACACAGTGCTGACACACAGCCCTTGCTTCTGTCTGTGAGAGGGGACTGACAGCTCATACACATCACACTGGGGTGCAGAGGCCAGTCAGGTTTGGTCCTTAGGTTCATACTGCTCTTGTGCTGGGCAGTAGTGCCTGATGTTTCGGCTGTACATATAGTGCACTGCGTGTTCAATTTTTTTGTTAATTATTTTTTAAAACAAGTTTCTATTTCTCAGTACAGAGGGCATCACTATCTACTGTCAACAACCGTTGTTTCCTGAAACTGTGGTGGTATGCCTGAAGCATGGACTGCCTCCACAGCTTCTAGTCAAAGCCTTTGTTTTATCTTCTGACTACAGAGCTGCCTGCTATCTAGCAAGCTGTAAAAGTAACCTACCTTTTGGGCAATGCAATCTGGCATCAGGAAGAAGCATTTAGAAAATAAAACTAAAACAAAACAAGCCATCAGATTTTCAAGATAATTTTCTGGAATACTTGCCAGAAGAATTGGTTCATCATAGTCAGACAAATTACAGCAAGTCATTTTCATATGTCTGCTATGTCTTCGAATTACAGATTGCTAATTTAAAAAATGTATCCTAATCTTATTAGTGACCTGGCAGCTGGTTCAGACACTTCTACCCCCGTATGCTTATAACCCCACAATCTTCTGAACGAGCTTCTTTTGAATTGACTTATGCATTTCATAATTAATGTCTAACAGATTACAAGTAGGTTTAATTTAATTGCAATTCAATTCAAGGTGGCACAGGTTTTTTTTGAAGCAAGGAACCGCAGAAAGATAAGCAAAAAAAGCCTTTATTAAAAAAAGCCCTTATATAATAATACAATAGGAATTTATATATCTTAGCCACTTACAAAGACATATATTAGATTTAATATATAAACAATAGGGTTTCAGAGACTTCATTCTTATGAATTATTAATACATTTTTTGGTAAAAAGCAAGAAACTTTGCCCTATTAACACATTCTTATAACACCTTTATTTTAATAAAAAAACAAGTGTCACTGCAGCCACATAGAAAATCAAGATAGGAATAATTAGAACAGAAGCAATATCAGTAAATGAAAATAATTAAATATTACTTTAATCACTCAATCACTCCTAAAAAGTACTAAAAAGTAACCGTTATGAGTATTTCATTATCTATTATTTAACAAGTCCAAAGAAGGGCCATGATGATGATTAGAGGGACGGAGCGCTTTTCCTGCGAAGAAACACTGAGAGAATTTGGATTATTCATCCTGGAGAAGAGAAGGTTTTGAGACCACCTAATTGCTGCCTTCCAGTACCTGAAGGAAGCCTACAAGAAAGGTGGGGACAGACTTGTTACAAAAGCATGTAGTGACAGGACAAGGGAGAATGGCTTCAAACTGAGAGAGAGTAGGTTTACATGAGATGTTCGGAAGAAATTCTTTACTCAGAGGATAGTGACTGGATCTGGAACTGGTTGCCTGGAAGTTGTGGTTGCTCTGTCCCTGGAATTACTCAAGGACAGGTTGGGTGGGGCTTTGAGTGAAGGTGTCCCTGTCTATGGCAGGGGAGTTGGAACAGATGATATTTAAGACCCTTTCCAATCCAAATTATTCTATGATTCTATGGTTTCCATTTAAATGGAAAAATAGTACGTGGCTGTTGGTTGAGATTACCTTGAAACAATGTAGAGGATGTTACCTATTAGGATGTGCTGGTCAGTCTGTCTCAAGCTGTTGCAATCAAAACTAAGACATATTTTTTTCAGCTCAGAAAGAATACCAGAAATTTGATACCAGAAAAAAGCAGAAATGCTTTGAAAGTAGATGCATGAAAATAGGGTGGACTTTGGACTAGTATATGTGCAAAACCTGTGATATATTCAAATGGCAATGGACCACATTGACAGTGACGAGGCTTTCACTGGTTAAAATCTTGGACATCACATTACTTGCCAAAAGCCACAGTCCTGTTTGGATACTGGTCTTAGCAGAGTTCAAGTAACAAATATTTACACTGAGCTCACAATTATTCTCCGAACTTTGGGCATGCTGATGGAGGACTGTGGAAAAATTGCACTTCTCCCTTTCACTGGGGTTGTGAGAGGCCCTGTCTTTCAAAGTGGTCCAGCCA